CCATGACAATACCACTAAGAGAACCCTTCACAGTTCCTCTGAAAGGAGCCGACGCAGTCCCCCTAAGGAGAGACTCAAGCACAGTTCCCCTAGGGAGAGGCCTAGGCATATTTTATCTCAAGATTTCAAGAGTTACTACTCAAACATGTCTCCTATGGACCACACAAAAAAATCCAAAAGCAGGGCAAGTTTGGAGGCCTGAAGCTAGCAGATGAGGTGAGATGGGCCCCTGTTATTGTCTCCCTCAACTCTTCACCTAGCTGCCCTTTCCTGGATACTCCCTGAGCAGCCACTGCCTCCAATTACTACGTCCTCAGCAATGAACCGGCTTCTACAGCTCTACCTGGGGTGGGGGTGGGGGGCAAGAATGGGTCTGTAATTTCTCTAAGATCAATAAAGGGGCAATAACTGATCTCCACGTACATCTAGAAAGACCACTGGCCGGGTGGGTGCAGAAGGGAGGGTGGAGGGGCACAAGGTGCGGTGTAAAGGGTTGGACCAGGAGGAAGGGGTGTCGAGGCCGGGTTAAGGCTCCAAACTCCGCCCCTTCTCTCCAGAGCCCGCCCGCGGCTCCCGGGTCCCGCACCGCCACGGGGGAGGCGAGGGGGCGGGGTCTCAGAGGAATCCAGGGTGGCTCGTCACGTGACTCACTCCGGCTGCAGCCCCCTCGGAAGCTGCCAGGCGGAAGTAGACGTTCAGAAGAAGGTTAGGCGGGGCCGAGCGCACATCCGGGAGAGGCAAGAAGAGCGGAAGTGGCGTTGATCTGGCCGGAGCCCTTGGGTGAAATTGTTAGGCGTGGAGAGGGAGTGATGTCTTCCAGACTCGGTGCAGTACCCGCTGTGAGTTTCTTGGTTTGACCGTTATGCTTTAGAGGTAGCGCTGTCGAGCCCGGAACACGCGGTCCCTCGCTTTTGTCCCTTGCTCAGAGTTGGTTTTATCAGAGCCCATCGTAGGCCCCACCCTTCTAGATCGGATCACCTGTCCCCTTTTTCTTTTCCCACTTTCTGCTGCCTGTTCTCCACCTCCTTGGACTTAGCTCCTCGCCAGATTGCCATTAATTTCTATTCCTTCTACCTCGCCAATGCCATTGTCTTTTCTTTTCACCTCCCCTTTAGACCCTCTATCTGGTACAGGGCTTTGGAGAATGGGGGAAGATGAAAGCTCTTGTATTGTTACCCGCCTTTACAGTGTAGGAAGATAGGACGGCACGCCTTTACTAAAAAGTATTGCCTTCTTCCGTTTGAGGTAGTGGCCCCGGGAGAGCTTCATTTCTTCTGGACACAGGGGGAATTCGAATTTTTATGGTCGAGGTTCAGGGGTTCCTAGCACTCACTTGTGTGCTTGTGATTTGCTAGACTCCGGGACCCACATCCTTTAAGCAGCAGAGGAGCTCGAGGATCGTGGGAGCTAAGAAGTAAGTGAGGTTTTTCTGAAGTCCTTTTATAATTGTGTCGCCAGCGCTGTCCAGTAGGACTTCCTGTGATTATGAAAATGTTCTGTATCCGCACTGTCCAGTATCATGACCACTAGCACTCTGTGACTTTTGAGCACTTGAAATGTGGTTAGTGCGACCGAGGAACTGATATTTAAATTTTAGTTTTAACTAGCATTAAATAGCCACCTGTAGCTAGTGGCCACTGGATCGGACAATGCAGGTCTAAATCTAGTGTGGGGGAGAAAAGCCTAGCTTGCAAAAAAAAGTACAAGTTGTAATAAAAATGGAACGTATGTATGACTCAGTGGTAGTCCTGCATTTCTCTAGACATCAAATTTGTGCTCATAAATATATTGATGAACTTGTGAAGGACAATAAAAATGACTGCAAGAAATTCTTGTATTTTCAAACTACTTGGCTGCAAGACTGGCTTATTTTGGGTACTCAAAGTGCTAAGTTTTTCCATGGTTAATACAAAAGAGAAGATTCTGTTTACTAGAAACTGCCATTACATGGATTCATTTATTCAGATGACATTTACTGATGACATTTACATAAATGTCTGCTCTGTGCCAGCTGTGTAGTAGGTTAGATATACAGACATGAAAAACAGAACTAGCAGTCTCAAAGAGGAGATAGGCAAGTAGATCAACACAATACAGTGTAATAAGTAAATATTTTAAAATGGGAATTTAATGTAGCCTTTGGGGAAAAGGAGTGACAGTTTGAAAGGGAAGAGTTACCAGAACAGATGACTCCTAAGCAGAGACTTGAAAATTGAGGACTAATGCAGTTAGCTGGGAGGAGAAAGCGTTTTTCAGGAGAGAGAAAAGCATGTGAACGTGTAAAAGAAGTTAATGGGATAGCAAGTAGTTTTATATAACTGGCATAGAGGATGGGGAATTGCAGGGAGATCGTTTAGAGAGGTTAGCAGGGGCCAGATCATGAAGGACCTTTTGTGACATGCTAAGGTGTTTGGATTTTATCCTAGAAGGGTTTTAAATGAGGGGATGACATAGTCAGATATTGGTCTTAGGTCACTCTGGCAGCATTACAAAGGATAGATTTCGAAGGGTACTGGAAAAGTGGTTCAGAGGTTATTACAGTAACCTAAGAGATGAATGAAGAATGGCCTATGGTAACAATATTTCGGGAATATACAAGTTGTGGTGATGAGAGGTGAGTAAGAGGAAGGAAGATAGAGTCTCTGCCTTTGGCAACCGGGTGGATATTGGAGTCATTCACTGAACTAGGAATTTCTGGATGAGGAGCAACATTTGGAACAAACTTAAGTGGGTTTGGACCTCAGCTGAAGAGCTGGTCTGAAATATAGAATTAAGAATCATCAGTGGGGTGTGGTGGTTCACGCCTATAATCCTAGCACTCTGGGAGGACAAGGCGGGAGGATTGCTTGAGCTTAGGAGTTCGAGACCAGCCTGGGCAAGAGCGAAACCCCGTCTCTACTATAAATAGAAAGAAATTAGCCAAACAACTAAAAATGGAAAAAAAATTAGCTGGACATGGT